TTCTGTCATTAATTATATTTTTTTATATTTAAGAAATTAGAATTTTTTTCTCAAATATAAATTAAAAATATTTCTCTGCTATAATTAATACTTTTTTTAGATTTAGAATTTTTTTATCAAATATAAAAATATTTCTCTCAAATATAAATTTTAATTATTGCAGAGAGAAATATTTTAAATTTATATTTGATAAAAAAATTCTAATATCTCTTAAATTTAGGAAAAATCCGGCTTTTAATGGATAGAAAGATATTTCCTTTTCGCGCGTGAAAATCGAATCAGTCGTCATATAGTTTATGGGAAGAACTGAAGTGGTTCTAAATCGAGAATCATCGATTCTTGTGCACGATTCAAATCAGCTCGCCATCCGCATATATTACGATATGCGCTTTCACAGCCGCATTACTTCCGCCGTGGAGAAACTTTTGCGATATTGAAAGAGCTCTGTGCAAAACTTGCGTTTAGAGCCATTGTCTTCTTCGATTATGCATTTAACGCAACGAGAAAGACGGAAACTGTTTAACGACGGACGACATTTTTTATACGGTGTGGTATTTATTATTATATAATATTTAATTATCTATTCGCAGCAATGTCGCAGAGTAAACGGGTTTAAGTGTACGAAACCGTGAAAGCTGAATATGATAATGTGACAGAAAATGTATACAATAATATCGGATAATGTTTTGTTAGTATTTAGTACTTTGCAGAAGTGAAAGGAGACTAATATTATTTAATGTTAGAAGTCGAAAAATTTTAAAGCTATTTTTCAAGCAATAAATATAAGTTTTATTTTACATATATTTAATCGTGAATAGATTTTACATCAGCAGAAATTTACTTTAATACAATTAGAATTAAATTATAATAATTTAATTAAAATTGAAATTAAATTATTAATAATTTAATTAAAATTTAATTAAATAAACAAGTCTCAATTACTTTATTTATTACATTTTTTATTAATTCAATTAAATTTTCCGATTTATTAAATTTTGTTTAATACAGTTTTTTATCAATTATAAATTAAAAATATTGCTCTGCTATAATTAATAATTTTTTTTTAGATTCAAAATTTTTTATCAAATATAAAATAAAGATATTTTTCTCTTGTCATTTTTATTTGTTTTTTTAGATTTAAGAAATTAGAATTTTTTCCTTCTATTTTTACTTTATTTATCACATTTTTTATTAATTCAATTAAATTTTCCGATTTATTAAATTTTCTTTAATCAATTATTTTATTAAATATAAATTAAAAATATTGCTCTGCTATAATTAATAATTTTTTTTAAATTCAAAATTTTGTTTATCAAATATAAAATAAAGATATTTTTCCCCTGTCATTAATTTTTTTCAGAGATTTAAGAAATTAGAATTTTTTTTCAAATATAAATTAAAAATATTTCTATAATTAAAAATTGTTCTCTAAAGATATAAAATCAGAAGTCTTTAACAGAGAGAATCGCTCTTTTAGCTGACCTCCCGGAACACTTAATAAACGGAAATGCGCTTGCACATACATTAAGCATGACAAATCGTTGTCGTGTAATTACCATCGTCGCAGCGAGATGACACAATTATTCTCGTCGACTGTATGATTTAATTGTTCAGCGCAATCTCTCTCCACGGAGAGAAATGCGTCGCGTTGTCTCAGATTCACGGATAGAAAATAGCGTGACATTGTCGCGCTAGACAAATCGTCGAGAGAAAATATATTGTGGCGCGTTTCTTAGGACACATTTCAAGTTTTAATATTCCGATCCATCTTACTCGGAACTATTGCGATATATTACACATTTTTTCGCCGCGAGATACATCTCGAAGGAGCCTCTCTAATTGTTTTTAAGCGAATTTTAACAGAGATTGGATAAGTATTTAGATCGTGAGAAGGAACGGTGAAAGTTTTTTTTCTACATGTACGATACTCGAAAGGAGGCTCGTTGACGTAGAAGATGCAGGGGAAAACCATATCTGTTTATCTGCTTATTTATTTTCCGGAACGCGGAGTTTCCGTCTCTCCATTGTGCCTTACGAAGGCCCCTCCTTTTGGCATTTTCTCGCAAATGTAAAAAGTATCGAAGAAGACATCGTGAAATAATTCATCGTAAGAACTCGCGCTCTTTCGAGCGTTTTACAAGCGATCTCCTTGCTCAACTATGCTTGAAACTATGTTTGACAACTCGCGAAGCGCTCAAAAGTATCAAGAATCAGCGTAAAAAAGGTGACTCGACTTTCGAGTATCTCGGAAAGAACGAGACTCGATTTCCCCTGGAATGTGTTAATTGTCCTTGAAATTCTCAGCTCTGTTTGGCGATAATTTAACGCCCGCAAAAAAAATGTTATCGAATTTCGCCAAACGAAGACGTTTTACTCCCGGCATTTCGATTTTTTGATGAAAAATATGTAGACGAGACTGACTTATGATAAATGTGACACAATGAATTGTTGTGTTATCCAAGATTGGCACACGGAATCAAATATATTATAGATTCAAATTGAGTCATCAAATTAATTTTATTACTTTCAAGTCAGCGGAGACCAAATTTAAACAGTTACTATTGTACAAAAGTTTGTTAGTATATATAAAAAAAATAAAATTTATTAATATAAATATTTAGAATAATAGAATATATTAATATAAATTAATATAAATATAATATTGATCTAAATAATATAAATATTTTATATTAATATAAATATATTAATACAAAAAAATAGGATTTATTTTTAGCTTGAAAGAAAGAGAGACAATATTATAAAAAAAAACTTACTGTAATAAAAAATAATATACTTGATTATAGATATGTAAATATTTTTTTTACTTATTATTCGTTTCTCAAATCTGGAAAAATTTATTTAACGAACGAGTTGAATAAATTTCTATAAATAATGCAATAAGAAGTGCAAAAAAGAAATGTTTCTGCAGCCGCATGGAAGATGCAAAAGGTATCTCTTTATGGTAAGTTGAGATTTCTGAGTATGATATTCTCACGATATTCAGAGAGGACGTCATTAATTGATTTGACCGGACCGACTGGTTATCAACGCGACTCTTTCTTGCATTCCTGAAGTGAAAATGGTGAGGCGGCGGTTCGTCACGACCCGAAATCCAACTCCGGCATTCGTCTTTATTACGCTTGTTTCTCCCAATTGTCAATTATCTTTTTATCGGTCAACTATTACACAAGCGAATATTTTAACCGCATTTTCGCCGCAAATGATGACATCGACTCGAAACAATACTTCGTTGTTGACGTTTTCAATCACGTCGTTATAGTAGATACTGCATTTACAAAGTAGTATAAGTCATCGATTATATACAGTACACATTCTGAAGAACGAAAAATCAAATAATAAAATGATGATTGTGTGTGAAATAAAAAAACACAATTTCAAATATGTATTTTCGTGACAGTTTGTTCATGAAATGCAAGGTGTTTTTGTTAATTATAATTCAATGCTGCAATATATAATTTTGCGCATTTTGTATCATAAATTAAATTTTATATTACACTTATGTCACATGCTATATTGTTTAATAATAATAATAATTAAATAAGTGGCGTGATTATTAATAATTAAGGGAGTATAATAATTCTATAGTCTTCTATTTCTGTCATAATATTTTCTTGTGAATAGATTCTTTAATCAATTCGATGTTATTTTTTCCTGAATAAAAATGTCAGAAGGAATTATCATATTTATTACAGTTTCTAATTATTAGTATATTATAAAAAAATAAACAAAATTGAAATATTTTATTATAAAATAATACTTGTTCTATTTTTGCTAATAAAATTAGATGCACAAAAATCCTACAGAGTACAACATACATTTAATAAAATTGTACTAAAAAATATGATTTTGTTTTACTTTTATTTCTAAAACTTATTTTAACAGAAAGTTCTTATTTGCTCTTTTTCGTTGCCACTTATATTTAGATTTTCATTTAGAAAAAATAAATTCTGAATTAATTAAAAAAAAAAAGCGAGAGAGGAATTGTAATTTTTACTAAATAATTTTAAATGAATCATTTATTTGAAACTAATATTTATTTGACATATAAAAATATTTCTGTGACATAAGAAAATCCTATTCAAAACAAATAAATATTTATCTGTTTCAAATAAATTTAATAAATGATTCATTTGGCAGTATTGAACTAAATATTAATTTATTCATTTTTGTTCAGTGCGTGAAAAGAATGGCAGGCGCGAAAATATTACATACCCAGCCATTACATATTACATTTAGTCATCGTTACATATTACCTGCTACATTTAGCATCCGTAACACACTTAGCCCCAACTCAAATTATCCATTTTACCTCGCCGGCACCTTGTTAATTAAAAATTGCGGTGCGCCTCATCGCCTCGGTTTGACCGCGTGTAATTATTGGCGGCGCGTGTGCGATAATTGGTCAGCTGCTCGTCCGAGAGTCCGTCGTGTGCATCCATAAATTGTCCGACTGCTCGCCGTAGTATAGTAGAATATAACGCCGACCTACTTATAAACTTGACTACTTTCACTTGCGAGGACGAGGTCGAGGCGCGGATGCACGGACGGAACGAATTTCCGAATAACTCCCACTCTCCTTCCTTCGGCATTTCATTCTTCAAAAAATCCACTTTTCGTCCTCATTTTTCTTATTTTTCATATACGTCAACTTTCGCGTTGGTTGCTCGTGCATAAATAATGAAGCTTTGAATCGTCGCGATATACGCGTATAATGTCAAAAATCATATTGTTCTCCATTCGACAGCGTATTGTATTTAGATTGGATTATATTTATTGAGGCTCGCTAAATTACAATACTAAGATATTCAATTTCTCTAATATAATTTTTTGAATGAAAATCTGACGTACAACTATATATTGTATATATATAAAATTATGTATATATAATTTTTAATATATCTTGATATATTTCTTAACTACTTAATTATTTAGTTATAATTGATGTTATTACTACGATCATTATACATATGATGATTAACGTAATGTTTTTTGCACTCGCTATTTTATGCATAAAGTCGAGAATTTGCATAAGTGTGAATATTAACGCCATAAATCAACGAGCGTGAAAGAGATCGCGTGTGACCGTAAGTTGTTCTTCAGGCTGCCTATAGACGGTCATTAACAATCGATGATCATACAATCCTTCTTTCTCACAGCGTTAAAAATCTCCCGAAGACCATTTCTTTTTGCGATGTCATCCGCGGTTCCGCTAAAAATCGAAGAGACATATTATTTTCATAATTATATTTTTATATAATTCTGTATAATTATATTTTTATATATTTTTTTAAAATAAAAATTAAAAGGAGTGAAGTGTAATAATTCCATATTTTCCATTTCTGTCATATTTTCTGGTGAATAAATTCTTCAATCAATTCGATGTTATTTTTTCCTCAATAAAAATGTCAGAAAAAAATTATCATATTTATTACAATTTCTAATTATTAGTATTATAAAAAAAAAATAAACAAAATTGAAATATAGTATTGTAATATTGATATGTAGTATTTTAATTTATATTAAATAAACATTTTAACATATAGATCCTGTCTCTGAGGCTTTTTATTCTCTTTTATTTTATATTTTTAAATTAATTATATTTTTATGTAACTTTATATAATTAATATTTTTTACAATTTATTATTGATCAGCGATAGAAGACCGAAGCGCGTGAATTACCTGGTAGCCAAGTTCCACAGAATATTTTGAAGAATATTAGACTGCGGTTCACTACCAGCCAAAATTAATTCGCAGATCGATCGATCTTCGCAGACAGTCGTCGATTGTTCATTGGACAAACGTGCTCGCTTGTGTTCAATAGGCAGATCGGCGACCCTCAGCTTCGAGAGGATGATGCTCGGTTGGCTAGAACGAAATTTGTTCCGGATTAAAAAATATAAACAAATAAATAGACGCGAGAAGAAACGACTCACGTTGTTGCCGTGTTGTTGTTGTTGATCCGCACAACTTTGGGTGTCAGCGCCAACAGCAGACCCAGAGGCAGAAAAGTACCGATCAGATGGATGATCTTCTTCCAAGGAGACAGACTGCGAATGATATATTTAAAATTTCAATCTTAAGTAGAAGCCATTAGATATATAAATATGTTGCTCAATCAATTTTCTAAAATATTTTATTAATATAGATTTAGGGATAGGGAGGATAGAGATAGAGAGAGAGAACATATTTAATAAATAATAGAGGAATAGGGAGGAATATTTTAAGAGAGAGGAGGGAGGAAGAGAGATAGAGATATATAGATAGATATATATATATATATAGAGAGAGTATATTCAATAAATAATATATTAATAATGTAGTAATATTTTAATATATCTTATTTATTAAATATATATATATATATATATATATGTATTTAATAAATATATATATTAATATATTATGATATGTGTTAATATATTATATATTAATATATCAATATATAATAATATATTAATATATATTATTTATTAATATATATTTATTATATAATTTTAATGAAAAACTCACCTTCTTACTTGCGGATAAGTCATGGTCGAGTGTGGTTCTTCCAAGTATTGCATATCGCGATACTCGTCGCTGGGTTGATAAAACGTGTACGGGAATTTGCGCTTCCTCGTGTAAGTGGACTGCTCGACAACCAGGACGCCATTGCTCCCGGGTTTTTTAATCATCTCGAGCGCGGTCTCCTGTATCGGCTGATGAGCGTTCTGACTTTGACTGGCGTAATAATTGATGACGTACGGAGGAGGTCTCGTGAGGTCGAAGTAAGCCCCGGTCGTGCGCTGATCCGTCATCATTTTGCCGAAGACGGTAGACGCGTCCTGCGGCTTTTGATAAAACGTCTGATCGAGAAACACGTGTCCGATGGTGGCCTGTTCAAGCGGCGACTCCGAAACGACCTCCGTAGCCGCTTGCTGATCGTTAAAGGAATGTTGCTGGACACCCGGGACCACCTGATCGTCGTCTTGAAACTTAATTCTGGATCTTGTACCTTCCTCCAGAAGACCGACGACGTCCTGGGACCGATCGTGTTGCTCGTCAACGTGAACGTTGCTCTCGAATCTGACGTGTTGCACGTTGTTAAAGGGATTCTTCCGGCTCTTGGACTGCTCGATCTCGCCCAAGTGTATACTGGGTCTGAAGACACCGGAAGTGTTTCGTGGTAGAGCTCCAATGACGATCGGCGATGTTGATTTCTGACTGTTATCAACTATAGGTGCAGCTATCGTCGTTTCCTGACTGGAATATCGATCCCTTAAGGAGGCTTCCTTGAAGGACACATTTTCGCATGTCACTTCAGATACCTCGGCGGTCCTCGCGCATGCAAACACGATCAGCAGAAGATGATGCGGGAGCAAGTGACGTTCGGAGGTCTTACGCAACCGCATGTTTGGTCGATTAAGTCTACGGTCGGTGCAAATGGAGTGACGATGACGAGAGAGTATCGAAGACAGCTGTTTCCATTGCGAGGAACCCGCAACTGAGGGATTCAGCGCGACATACTGTGACTTTAACTCGCAAGAAGGCAAGAGTTACCTTAATGCGGGCGCTAAAAAGCGTGAACGTGGGAACAGTGCGCCTTAATCATTGTCCATACACCAATTGTCGTCGACGAAGTAAATTTTGCGATGCTTAGTTCCAGCAGATTTCTTGGTACACGGTGCATCGTGTCGTAAATGCACCGCGCCTTGATGACGAGATGGATGCTCTTAAACAAGTTTTATGTTAAATTAATTGCTAATTATTAATTAAACAGAAAGAGAGAATTTTTTTTATTTATTTAACAATATTTATATTAATATTATTTATATACAGAAAAAGTGAAAAATTTTATTAAAATTAAACGATGCGTGAAATCAAACAACTCGTAAATAAATAATTATAGATATTATCTAAATTAAATAATTATAATATTTAGCTGAATTATTTGTAGAAAAATTGAACTTTCCCGAGATATAAATACATATATATGCTACATTTTTATTTTACGATTTTATAAAAGAAGATCGCAAATTAAATGAAAGCAAGTGAAACGTTTAATGGATTGCTAAATTGCGTAATTAAGATAGACGACATTCCTTGCTCCAGAGATACTCGGAGTACAAGTGTAATGAGCGGAAGGGGTGAAAAGACTTTCTAAGCCAAGTTTTATCGCCGAGCGGTGAGAGTCTGACCCTGTTTCACGGCGAGGTCACTTTAATATGTTTCTATATATATATATATATATATATATATATATATATATATGTACGCGATATTAGAATTTATTTCACAGAGAAAGAGATTATTTCGTTATAATCCATATGCATTTTTTATACTTGCCTCGGATTTATATAAAAATATAATTTCGATCTTAAACGATCAATTATTGACGATTTGCTGGTTGAAAAATAAAATCAAATAAAAAGAAGAAAATTAAAAAAAAGTAAAATAAAAGTAATAACAATAATAATCTGCCATAGTTGAGAATTTGATTAAATGTGATGTTTGTATATCAATTAATTTAGGATTGATCTCGTCTGCGAATTATATGTCTGCTTCTCTCGAAACTTTCTGTCTTATCGCGCGCGGATTCTCAGCATCTAGGCTAGATTTCATCTAGGTACCCTTTTCATCCCTTCCACTTCTTCCCATATCGTTCTCGCCATCGCAACTCTCCCTCTGGTATGACCGACAATGAAAGTAGATGTTTGCCGCACGAGCCATTCTTCCTTTTTTCCACCTTTTTCCCGTCGTCATAGTCGTTTTCGCGGTTAGCTACTTCCAAGCCGACCTAATTCCGGTTTTGAGTAGGCCACGCTAACCACGTCGTAACTGGAAGTAAGAAAAATCCATTGCTCGCCTCTGCAATTCCGAAAATGCGTCATCTTCGCTTTACGATAAAAGAATCTCACGTGATTATTCTCTGTAACATAAACAAAATTATTATTATTTTCGAGCGACTATTAAATAAAGGCACGAGTTTTATCAGCTGTCAGAAATTAAAAAAATATATATTTTGTTGCAATAAGTCACTGAAAATCGTTTAATATGCGCAAATATATATTAGATCGATAAAACAAACGTCAAGAGATAAATGATGAAAATCGTTCGTTCACGTGATTATTCTCTGTAACATAAACAAAATTATTATTATTTTCGAGCGACTATTAAATAAAGGCACGAGTTTTATCAGCTGTCAAATATTTAAAAAATATATATTTTGTTGCAATAACTCACTGAAATGCAAATAGATCGATAAAACGTCAAGAGAGAAATGATGGAAATCGTTAATTTCGTTTTAATTTTAATTTTAATTTTGCTGTTGTTGATTTTCTTCTGGAATGATAAGAGATCGATAATGCATTGAGAGAATTGAAAGAAACCGGCCGATGGAGAGGAGAAATGAAATCGTCTGTTTCTGGGTCGGCGCTGGGCAAAAAATCTTAGATCGGTGAAAATCCGGCGAAGAAGAATCGGAAGCTGCTCGTAAAACGGAAACTGTTAGGAGGAATTTCACTCGCGCGACGAGCAAGAATCATCGTAAAACGAGAAAGGTTTCTGGGGCGCGCGAAAGCGCAAAAATCGCTAAACGACCGATTCTACGAAACGTTTGTTTGTTTGCCCGATACCCGATCCTGTACGCATCTGCATCTAGCAAGAAGGCCAAATCGACAATTTGTCCAAGCATGAAAATCAACGGCGGCCTTCTTTGTCCTTTACGATGCCAAGCGATGTCCTTAATTGTGCGGCCATTCGACCAGAAACTCCATTTCCTTGAAAATTCTTACACCCCATCGCATTTAATTCGCATATAATAATTCAAAATTATTTATATATTTTATAATTAATATTTAATTTATGTATTAAATAATTTATATATATGATATAGAAGACAAATAAATAATATATTAAATAACTATAATGATCTAGTCGTTCTAATTATGATAATAAATTGATGCGCATTATCTCTTGAAAGATGTTATTGCGTTAGAATTAATAATTAATAGCAATATAATCAGAAAGTTCATATATTCTCCGTAAGAAACGAATTTTTAATTAATATATGCGTAATATATTACCTCAACTCTCAAATATATGTGGTGGCTAATTGTGGGAAAAATACACATACAATTTAATTCAAGACATAAAAAAAATAATTATTAAATTATTACAATTAGTAAAAAATCAATAATATTATTAATATTATGAATCTTTTATTAATTAATTATTAATTGATATGTTGTTTTATCATAAAACAATTATAATTATTTTTTTAAGTGTATTTTTAGTAATTATTAATATTATTCTTAATAATTAATTAATTTTATTATAATAAATAGAAAAAAGTGAGATGAAAAAAATGTGAAAGAAGCTAAAAAGAGAGAAGAGAAGAAACTAAATTTGTTCCAATAATGAAAAAAAAAATGATTGAATTTCGCTTGCACCAACTGCTGTAAGGCCGCGCCTAGAGGAGGCCGCGGCCAGAAGAGAGAGCACTGTGCTCGGTCGCCATGTTTAAACGGTGAAAGTAGCATTTTGACAAAACGTAAAATCCGCGTGAAAATGACACTGTCACCCATCCGCGCGGAGCGAGCCGAACCGTGATGGGCGGATGTTGTGTCGTCACCCGGGCTGATTGTCACGAGCGCGATTGTAATTAGCGCGTGACGAGCGGTCTGGGTCTGTTTCTTATCACTCCTTCCGTCGGACATTCAGACGGGAGAGGACGGCCGGTCAATGGGCGATCGACACTTGATTCCCCCTCTGTCAATTACGACTCCATTATGTACCTTATTTATCCTCCCGTTCGCGCCTACCGAGATGGCATAAATAATTCCCGATGATGAGTGGCGATCAAAGAGCGAAGAACGGCTGAAAACATTGTTTCGTCTCGTTCGAATGCATCCGAACCAGCTGGATTTTTGCGATGTTGTAAGTGGGCCTGATTAGAGTTGCCGATAAATGAGAAAGCGCATTGTAAATAACTTGTCGAGGTGATTGTTTTCAAGGGGAGTTGTTTATAATAGTAATACAAGGTGTTGATTCTATTACGATAGGAGAAAACGCGGGAATGACTGAGGAGATTTTATATGTGACCGGAATAAATTTGCTACTTGAATTCGAAGTCAGATTTAGATATGAAGCATTCAATGTATAGTGCTTTTAATTATTTTTATATATTATTTAGAAAGTATTATTGTTACGAGTGCAATGTTAGATTTAGCTGAAAGGGGTTCTGGAAAAATGATTGCAAAGATATAAGACTTTATCTCTGAGAGATAAAAATGTGATATCACAATATTTCAAAGGCAATTGAAGCTCGGGTGAGAAGGATTTTTCTTCTCCATCATTTTATTCCAGTCATTCAAACCTCTGCTTACTTCCGCAGAAATTGATAGAAGCAAAATAGATCTCAAAGTAAATAAACAAATGATTGGGCAAAAATAAACTTGGAGTCCACTTGATATCTGCGCGAAGGCTTAGAGAAGAGCAAACACTTTAGAAACCGCTACGTTGGTACCGTATAACATCCAACAGTACCTCGCGCAAAAATCCAGGCATCATTCACTTGTTGACCAGCGATGGGCTCATCGATCATCGATCTAGCGACTGACCTCGCCTTCTATTGTGTCCATTGTATTCCGAGAACGTTATCCAAGAGGAAAGACAGACAGACGGACTTTGTGGGGAACCGCGTGCTGAAGCGAAAGAGAGAGAGAAAACCCAGATTGAGACGGAGAAAGAGCTCTCTGCAGGTGAGAAGGAGAGACAATGCGACGCCCGTTCTCCAAGTTGGGACCAAGTCGAGAAGCAAGGAACAGTGCACCGCGAGGATCGGAGGAAGATGCAAAATGGACCAAGCACCGGCCAAGTGGGGATCTGGATTAAAAGCAAACGAGGGCAACGTCTCGGCAACAGAGCCATCTCGGACCTTGAGGAGTCGAGGCCGCGCTTGTGCTCGAACAACACTTCCGTCCGCATTTCGTCACGTTCCTGTCATCGTCTATTGTTGTTGTTGTTGTTGTTGTCGTCGGCGCGGTGTTGCTTCCCATAACGGGTCCTCAGCCGCCGCGGGCCTCGTTGTTCATGTAATTAAAGACGACTCGGACGACTAATATCACACGGTCAGTGCGACGCTTATCGCGAATCGCAGGGTAGAATTCAGTAGACGATGTGCTGAGAATTTACGGAGTGAATGCCAGTGATTTTCGACGAGTTGCAATTTTCCAACCATTTGCTTAGGAGTCCAGCTCGACTGAATCATTGTGATTTCGTCCCACTATTCATTTCATTTTGTCTCATAGCCCCCTGATTTTTTTATAACAATTGTGCTTTCGTTCCCCTGTTAATTTCTTCATTTTGTCCCTAATTATTCGAAACGAGATCTATTTTTAATTTTTGTCATTTTTCCCTCCAAAAAAATTACTTTATTATATCGTGAGTTAAATTTTAGAGAAAAAAATGATCGGGATAGTGACCTGATAGAAACGAAGACTTTGTTTAATATAAAATCCTGTATAATGTGCGAAATAAAGGGAAAAATCTTCGTGTTTCAGAGATGACGCCGAGAAGAGCGCTTTATCTGCTTCTGACGATCTTGACGTTAGAGGGATCGCAATGCAACACGAGGTACTTCGTAAAAATGAGGACGAACGCGTCCGAACTGTTCAAAACGAAGGCCGACAATTTGCGGATACTCCAGGATCCGATAGCGATCACCCCGAATTCTCTGTACGACGATAACGCGAGAAACGAGGGCGAAATCGAGGATGAGAGGATAACCAAAGAAATATCGAACGTTCAGTACACTCGGAGAAACTCCTTCGTCGAGACGTCGACTTTCAATCCGGACGTGCTCAACAAGTTTCTCGAGGAATACGCGAACAAGATAAAGAGCACCACCGAGAAGAGCTTCAAGTATCCCTTCAGAATCGTGAAACCACCTGCGGAGCCGCTCGTCCTCGAAGTCGACGACGACACCGAAGCCACGACAATTCGCAAACAGGATGGAAAGTTCGATCAGAATGTTACTTTGGCAGAAAATGATAAGGTAAGGAAAAATTAAAATAAATATAAATCCAATATAATGATATAATTCCAAGTTAAAATGCTTAATATCTTTTTTATGAATGCTTGAATATAAAAAAATAAATAAAAAGAATAGTACGTTTTTGAAGAATATATATTACGTGAAAATAATAAAAAATAATACATGATTAATAAATCTACAACAAATGTAAAATACATTAAATAAAAATATAAAAAAATTAAATAAAAAGAACAGTACATTCGAATGCAAATATAATAATATTCTAGTTCAAAAGTTCCATTATAAATTACGTTCTTTTTAGAAGAATGTATATTAACTGAAAATAATAAAATATAAAATATAAATGTTCTTTATGTAATTTATCATTGCGTAATAAAAAAATACGTTAACGAATTTCCGGTCGTCTCTTAGCTAAGCGAGTCGCTGAACGACACCTTGAAGAGGAACAAATATTACGGTACAAATACTTACGAGGACAGGAACGGCTGGGTGACGTTAGAAGCAATTCCGTGGTCTAAGAGCAAAATTTCCAAGTGGCAGGCCAATCCTAGCACGCAACGACCTTGGCCGGAGATAAAGCCGTGGGATAAACCGAGCATGAAACCATGGGCCAGCGACTATACCATCAGACCCACTTATGAAAACAACAAACCGTGGTAAGTATCGCAACCGACAATTTTCCTTTCACTATGCGATGCTATATACGAATTCGAAAATAGGCTTCGTGCTCATTACGACGCAGAGAGATATTTGCTATTAGCGTCCAATTGAAACTTTCTTTCTCGCAGATTTCAGTTCAGCGCTATCTTATTTAATATGCACAGTCCACATAAATCAAAACATTTTTCTTCGCATTTTATTTCTGCGTTCAATCTTCATTTACGCAGACATTTTTTGCATAAAGTAATTTTTGATTAAATGATCGAAAATAATATTAATAATAATTTTGTATTTTTTCCCATATAAAAAATAATGTTTAAAGACAAGAAAGTACATGTCACATTTTTTTCTACCACCGAATAGTATATTGTGTATCAAGTGCGGAAAGTTGCCATCTTGCCGCGGCACGGTGGGGGAATAGCCGTGTTCAATACATTGCCTACGGCTTCAGCCGTATACAATGACTTTTAACGCGGCTGAGCCGTAGATAATGGCTTTGAACACGGCTTATTCACTCACCGCGTCGCTGCTAGATGGCGGCGGGGGAAATCGGCCACTTCCCGCACAGAAAACATGCACTGAAAGTGCCACTTTGCCTGCACGTGTAATACAAAATATTTTTCGGCAAAGAATCAATTTCTAGTTAAGCTGGTCGAATCCTTAGGTACGACAAGCCGAAACCGAATTGGTCGGATAACAACGAGAAGCCGTATCAGAAACCGATTTCCCGTCCCTCTTACAACTCCGACGACAACACCGCGCAAAAGTGGCCGTACTGGAACAAGTACGAGGCCCATCGTCCGAACAGCGACATCATCACGGACGACAAACCGGCCAACTTCCCCAACACTTGGTCCAGGCCTCAGACTCAGACGTCTCCCTATCACTTTATCGACAAATACGCGGATAAGGATCAGTCGGGAGATGGAAGCAATTGGCACGATTACCCGTCCAAGTACGAGCAAGACCTACCCACCCTGATCACGGAGCGGCCGAACTTCTCGCATTATCAGTACGTGAACAATCATCCGCCGAATCATCCGGCGAGCGGCGACGGTCAGTGGATCCTCCTGTCGACGAATCGCGGATACTCCAAGTCGAGACAGAGGTCCATCAAGATCGACACGGTCAACGTTCCGGAGACGTTCAGGACTAATGTAACCAACCGCGGAAATGCGAACAGACAGAGCAGGCCCTCGCTACCCGTCATTACATCCAAGCGCCAGGTTAATTTAGAATGAAACCTTCTCTCTTTCTGTCTCACATCTGGTTTTCATCCAAATGCTTCAGCCGCGATCAGGATTTATCGACATAATTTTGATATTGTGATGATTAATTGTTATAATATCCAGGGTTTGCTGGTATCTAAATAAAATTATGTAGATGATCATCTAGATGAAACTTTGGCGTCATCTTAACTTTGTATAGATAACAAAAATATGTATTATCTATATCAGTATCTTGGATTTAAAAAAAATATTATTTTCACTAAATTACTAAATTAAAAATACTTAAATAGTAGAATTTCAGTAGTAAGCGATAAAAGTTTATAAATTAAAATATGAATACATATATATTTTTATATTTTATAATTTACATTTTTTGTATAACTGTGTTTACATAAGAGTCTTCAAAATTATTATCAAGAAAATTATCTTAGATGAATCGCCATATAATTTCATCTTTTATCTAGATATACCATATTTAGCACAAAATCTAAGATAAATTTACATATCTTTATCTAGCTGATTTTAAAATCATCTGAGCACAACGCTGATAATTCAATGAAAATATTATTGATAGCCGCTTTATGAAAAATGGTTTACCTAGGTCAGGTTGACGGTGTTGCCGTCGATCAACGGCACGAACACGACGACGTCTCACGGAGGTCTTCTGGAGGTCGAGAAGACGTTCATGAGCGTCGATCAGAGCCGCAAGGAGTACGAGATGCAGAGGCTGACGACCGAAGCGAATATCCAGAATACCACGAACAAAAGACCGATCAGGCACACTTTGAGCGGAAACCGTCGAGTTCGGCGGTTCTGGCAGCAGTCGGAGCAGGTAAACAAGCTGTAAACAAATATCAAATATGTACACTGGAACACATATTCATCTTTTAAGTTGACGTATAAATTTAATAGCAGTGCATTGCAATTGGCGAATAGTATAAGAAGAAATTTGCAAACATAAATATTATAATTGATAAATATTAATTTAATGATAGAAAAATTAGTAATTTAAAATAAACTCCGCTTCCTTAACCTTGTACATTTTTTACGAGCTATAGATTTATAAGGTAAAATGTCGTCGAATTGTATATTATATTTATTACGTCAACTAATCTCACAGTAAAAATGAACTTTGTTTAAATTTACATAATATACGTGTTTTGATTTTAAATCTTAAGATCTTAATATACAGAATGTTCCAAATCTTTTGTAACATTTAATGAAATTACTTAGAGACAAAAATATTAATACAAAAATATGAAGACTATAATAGCTTCAATGAAAAAAAATTATTGAATTCAAATAAATATTTATTTCAATATAAATCATTTATTTGAAGCTAAAAATATTGATTTGACAAAGAAAATCCTTTTTAAAACAGAAAAGTATTTATTAATTTAATAATTTTTTTCAGTGTTTGAAATGATTCATATTTAAAACTGAGCAATCAAAATTCGCTAAATCGCGCAATAATATATATAAGATACCCTCAAATATCTTATTTATCTGACTAAATCTGCCATTAATTAGTATTACCAAAGATCTGGGACACTCTGCCTATTTGTTAATTTAATTATCATACCTATGTATGCAATAACAGGTATGTTGCCGGCGACAATGGCAATGATGATACCGATGATGCTGGGTCGTCGAAAAAGAGATTTGAGTCTGACAGATCACGGCTTGAACAAGTCCTACGATCTCCAAATGAATCTGCATGAGCACGCGAGGGAATATAACACCCAACAAAGGAGACCGATAGGACTGTAGAAATTAAGGTAGAGCAGAACCACTCGTTCAGCATTTAAAAAAATACTTATTGACGGCAACGCAGAAAAATGGAGAATGAAACGCGCGATATATGCAAATGACTTGGATGTTTCAAACTCGGGACAAAACATTGAGAATTGAAAAACAATCACGGTAGGTACTATTGAATAATTCGCTTATAAATCTATTTTTACTCAAAATTTAAATGAAAATATAATTTCGATTTGTGCACATCAGATTTTAAACTGATATAAATACAATATATTAGCGTCTGTAAAAATCATTATGTATTCATATATATATATTTATATATAAATTTTATATATATATATTTATTTATATTATATATATAATATATAATATATAATATATAATATAATATTATATATTATAATATAATAATATATAATATAATATATTATATATTATATAATATATTATATAATATAATATATTTAATATATATTATATAATATATATATTTAATATATTATATAATATATATGTATATAAAGTGCCTTTTACAGATTATTTCTTGAAACATATATTAATCAACTAGGCTATAGATGTCATAATACTGAGAATGAATAATCGATATATTTCCGTCCGTACTTATATAGGCAAGCATATACCAGTACGATCGATTTAGTAGAAATAATAGTGAATCTAGAGGAAAAAATCGCAAAGAATCAATTTCCGCAGGTTGTTTTGTTAATCGCGTGTTTTGCTACTCCGCTCTAAATTACCAATTTAATTTTAATTGCCGTACTTGACAGAGTGGTTGAATTGTAAAAACAAGAAGCGAAAACATAATTCATTTCGACTTTTATCGCTATTCATGAATATTTATAATCCGTATTTTAAGCTTGAGGAAAAACATCGCGGCATCTCATTTACCAATTAATTACATCAATTTAATTGCGCGTAAGTTGTCAAATTGGTATTCATTGAAGATTGTCGAGAAACTTTGCGAATCGTTTTCTCGTTGATACGATTTGCAATAACTTGCAGCAGCAATAAATTTTAATTCTTTCGCACGTTTGTGTGTGACGTAATATAGAGAGAAACAAGAGCGTTTAAAATCTCCAATATTTATTTACATAACTCATATCAGGGTATTACATGAAGAGTTTACTTATTTATTTATTCATTTATATTCGTTTCAGTTATTTATTTATTTATATAGCGTATAAGTTGCCCAATAAAATCGGCTCGTCCATATTTTTCCTTACTTTTTCTCGCTCTCCGGCGAGATGAGACGAGAAAGAGAGCAGCACTCAAACCAAACAAATTATGTAGAAACAGAGTAAACGATTTTCAATAAAAATTTCATCGCGATTTTCTGGAAGAGAGAACTTTATCGAAACCCCTCACCAAACCTCTACTTTCAACTCTGAAAAAGTACTATTCTTAAAACGCGGCTACGTCAGGATCCGAAAACCGACATTAAAGCTCGACGTTCATTAATCAAACGTATTTGAAAGCGAATTATCGTCGATTATCGATCTTCTCGCGTGTCGTCCATCGAAGAGGATCCTGGCGAAAGACTCGATACTTCGAAGAGGAAGACGCCACGCGTTCACCGATGTATATATATTATATATAACAGTAGTTTGTGTTTCTCTTCATCGTTTTAGCTTTCTAAGTGAAAGGACGATCGTTTATCGGCGATGCAAACAGACAAAAATGATGATCGTCCGTGAAATCGCGTCTCGAATCGACCGTGAAGAGATGTCCCGGGAAGATGATGATGCGCTGCTTCTCCTCGCGTTTGCCGGCTCTTCTACCGTTAAAGAGACTCTTCGGGATCGCGGCTGATCCCGAAGATGACGTTCCCGAGCAAACGCGAACGAAATATTACGCACTGTTCAACAAAAAATCATTTGTTTTTGAAACGAGACTAGTCATTTTTTTGGATGCTGAATACAAATTCGGTTTTCAAATTGCTATATCACATCATAATTTTAAGAAATTTTTTAATTGTGCGAAAAAGAGCCATTTTCACGAATTTTGTTTAAACTATACACTGAAAAAAAATTGTAAAATTAATAAATATTTATTTCAATACCGCCTAATGAAACATTTATTTGAAATAAATATATATTTTTCTATTTTGAAAAGGATTTCCTTATGTCAAATAAATATTTCTTCACATAAAATCAACATTATTAATTTCAAATAAATGATTTATTAAGCAGTATTGAAATAAATATTTATTTGAATTCAATATATTTTTTTCACTGTACAATGTATGTGCTGGAGAAGTTATTGTAATAAAAATAAAATATGTTGTAAGTAGGACTTTTAACTCAGAGAAAAAATTAAAAAGAAATTTTTGATGTCAATTATAGTTAATAAGATAACCATGATTAAATATAAGCTGTGTCGCGAAAGTTAGCTGTGACTTTACAATTAGATCATTAATGATTTACTAAATCTTTAAGGATTTTTTAATCATTGAATACGAATTCAATGTCAAAATTGTCAAATTCAAAATGATACTCAATATATGAGGAATGTCAAAATTTAAATAATATATTTTTATATAAATCCGTCATATTGAGTTCATCATTTTGAATTTGACAATTTTGACATTTGTGTATTCAGTGATCTAAAAAATCTTTAAAATTAAATAAACATAATTGAAATTTATTTGATAAATCGTCAATGACAGCTAACTTCCTATTTAACAATGAATATCTTATTGACATAAAAAATTTCTTTCGAGGGTTGAAAGTCTTAACAATATACTTTATTTTGATTGCCATAAAACTTCTCCATAGCATCACGTCACATATATAGCTATAATATAACAAAGTTCGTGAAAGAAGCCTCTTTTTGCAACTTTAATTTAAAATTTCTCAAAATTATGATGCAATAATTTGGAAATCAGATTCATATTCAACATCCAAAAAAATATAAGGAACGACTAATCTCATTCCAGTGAATTTCTTCGTTGAACAATGTTAGATATAAACGATATCGCGCAAGAGACAAAACTTTGATCGCCAGTGAATTGATCTCCGCTCTTCGGGTTCGTCCTCATCATCCTCATTCCTCTCCGTTGATCCTCTTCTGCACGTGACCCAGATATCGCGCGAATCCTTCGCTGGCGTGTTTAAGGATCGTCAGGCCCAACCTGAACTTGATCTCGGCCACTTTCTTCACGAAGTCGAAGAGACTGAAGCCTTCCGCGGGCTTCTTCGTGGTCGAGTCATCGAACCATTCGACAGTCGTCGCTTTCGTGTCCTTGGGATTCGACGTCGTACTCACTGGAGGAGTCTCTCCATCAGAAGAGCTCTTCTCCGTGGTTAAATCCTCCTTAGTTCCCTCGACTGTTTTGGGAGTGGAAGTTTCCGGAATTTTCGTCGTGTCTTCCACACTTTTCACGGTGGTAGGAGTCTTCGTGACGGATTCCTTCTTCTGCTTCTTCCTCTGCCCCTCGAAATCCACCTCGTTCTCCTCACTGGTGGTCTTTCGTTGATCCCCACCAGGAAGAGCCGAGTCGATGATATCCAGAATCTCGTTGCTCAGGTCCTCCTCCTTCTCTGCCTCCTCCCGCTCCTCCTCCAGCTCGTGCTTCGACGGTATAACCTGTATTACCGACTCCCTCTTCGACCTTGAACGTTGATCTCCGCTGGTAACGGCGCGTTTTACCTTGAGGGAGCGCGGCCCGTGCTCGACCGCCACCGCGGTCGGCGTGATTTCAATCTCCTCGTATCCTCCGTCGTCCGATCGGACGGTCGACACCTCCGTAAGGTGAGCGCCGTAATTGTGCAGGTCCGCCGAATTGGGCGGGAAATTCAAACCTTGCGCGATGTCCCTCTCGAACTGCGTCTGTCCGATCTCGGTCGATACGTAATTGACGTTTTTGCTGTCGATCGGCAACGCGGCCGCTTTCACGGGCTCGAAGGGGTATTCCTTGGGTACGTTGCCGACCACGAACTGCCGATCCGCCGATCCGGAGGCTTCCGCGACCAGGTCCTGCTTGCGCTCGTAGTAAACCGGGGTGGTTGGAGCCTCGGCGTACCTGAAGTCCGTATTTCGATACTTGACTCCCGCCTGGGTGTTCTCCACCGTTCTGTGAACCGGCGACGTGGCGATGGACGGGTATCTCGCGTCGGTCCTCTTCGTCGTCTGCGAGGTGTCGTAAGCGCCGTCGTAGTGCTGGTAATGATAATAATTGCTGTTGACTCCTGGGTACTTGTTCTCGTGGTTCGTCATACCCTGAAATACCTTGGACAACACCTCTTCCTCGCTTTGTCCGTAATTACCGCCGTATTCTTCCGGATTGTACTTGTAATTCGGCTCCACCTCGTAGTTCCTTCGCGCGATGGTCCCGCCGAAGGGATACAGGAAGTACGAGGCTAAACCGAGACCCAGACCTACCAGAGACATCACTCCGAAGCTGGGCATCACCTCGCGACTGAGGAAGTTGTAGATTTGAGTGCTGATGGCTTTCTGCGGTTGCTTCTTCTTGTTCTTCGCGATCTTTGTGTCAGGCGCGATCTTGGACTCCTGGATCGCGTTGTCCAGGATGGTGGGGTCGGTGACACCCTCGCTGGTCTCCATCAAGGTAGAGATGACGGTTGCAACGGTCGTCGAACTTGGAACCGTCGAAGTCGTGGATGGTTTGCGTCTGCGACCCTTGTTCTTCTTCCTCTTCGAGTTGTGTCTCGGCCGCTTGGTCGTGCTCGACGTCGCCGGGGTAGTAGTCAAGGTCGTTGAGGTCGTCGAGGTCGCGGCCACCTCTGTCTGCGTATCCACGTTGATCCTCGTCAGTTCGTGGTTGAACTCGAACTGCAAGTCTACCTTGGAATTGTTCAGATTATCCGCGTTTTTCTCCACGATCTGCTCCATCTTGTTCTTATCGAGCTTCTCGATCTTCAGGATCGGCGCGTTCACCTTGATCGGTTCGATTTCGATCTGCGTAGCCTCTTCAGCAGGCTTCTTCAGCTGTGCTTTCTGCGCCGTATTTCCCTTAATGCTCGGCTTCGATCTCACTAGCACTTCCACGAGATCTGTGCCAGACAGGTCCGTCTTGGACGCGAAATCGGGATCCAAGGTCATTGAGGTCGATGCCGAGGTCGGGGCTAAAGTGCTCGGAGCTTTCTGATTGTCCATCAGCATCGAAGCTTTGATTTTAGTGACGAATATCGGTTTCTCCGTACTCTCCGGCTTGTTCTGCGGAGTCGTGATGATCTGAACCGGTTTGAAGGTCACCTTCTCGATCTTACCGGTCGTCGCGGTCGTCTCGTTCTTCGTCGTCGTTTCGAGCTTGATCGTGGTCCTCTTCGTCGTGGTAGGCTTCGGTCTACCTTGCTGACCCGATCTCGTCGGCTTCGGCGTTATCGGTTTAGTCGTTCTCGGAGTGGTGCTCTTCGGTGGTCTAACGGTGGTTCGCTGGTTCTTCTTTGTCGTGGAAACGCTGCTCGAGGGGATGGTCTCGTCGCTCGTCCAAGTGCCGGCAGGTGTGGTGCGAACCACCTTCAAAGTGGACGTGCTCGAAGAGGACTCCAACGTCTCCGCATCCAGAGTGCTCTCTCTCTCCGGTCTCGGAGTAGTCGTCAGCCTCTTCGTGGTTGTCGCAGTGGTCTGCTTCTTCGTGATTACCTTCTCCGTGGTTATGACGGAGGAGATCAACTGCGGTGTGCTCTTTTCCACCGTCTTCTCAGACTGCGAGATCGGTTCCGCTTTGTCGATCGACGAACTCGGTCTGACTGTCAGTCGCACTTCCGTCTGAAAAGGTTGCTGCAACTTGGTCTTCTCGCTCTCTGCGCTCTTCACAGTCGTGGACGGTGGGTTTAAGAGGATCCAGGTGGAAATGCCGCCGGTGGTCGTCGGGTGATGCTTGTAGGCGTTCATCAACCTCGTGGAGCTCATCTCCCGCTCCAATTCTTCCTCCGTTATCGCCATCGCCTGGCCAGGATGGCTGCTCTCGAAGTAACTGAACTTGGAATTGATCGGCCTGCCGAAAGTTAAGCCAACCGGCTCCGAGTTCTCGATTTCCGAACTGACGTCTCTGATGGATGAAGACGTGTCGCTTTCTTCGGGGGACTTCAGCGTCGTCGTCGTGCCATGCTCCACCTTGGTGAACTCTTTGTTGTGTGTTTTTATCACCTCTTGCGGATTTGTGACGTTGAGGAGTTGAGTGGCGACGGTTCGCAAGGACTGATCCATGTATTGGAGATCCTTCAACTCACGGTGGGTGATATTTTTCTGCTCGCTGAAAGAAAATTTCACTGTCAAATTTGGTCGAGAAGGGATTTCAGCGAATGCTGGTTCGCAAGGTAATTTTCGATTTGAATCATCACATGTTGATATGACATAATCATACAATATTGAATTATCTCGTGAATTTCTTTTATCAATTTTATTAATTTTATTAAGAAAATAGTGTATTAATATATAAAGATCTTGGAAAAAGTCTCTACTCGTAACAGTGTGTTATTACTTATTCTTACCTTTTATGTGTAATTGCTACGACTTAATTTTTCGCGTAGTAACACAAAAATTATCATTATTAATAATCATTACGCATGCAGTTAAAGATAAAATAAAAAAAATAATTATAGAATAAAGAAACAAAACATTATGTAATTTCAAATAAATTACATCTATATATCTTATTGTTAGAGAAATAAATTTAAATTAATATAATGATTAAATTATTATTTAATTTTAATTGAAATTCTTTTAATGAAAAATCTTAAATTTGTTTGCTCGATTATGATTTACATATCTAAACATGTTAATACTTTTCAAGTTAATGAATTAAGATTTATGAATTAATGAATTAATGAATTAAGACAAACGCTAAGTTGATTAAGTCAACAACAAAAATAAATTTTACTTATTAATTTAAATGATATAAACAACCAATGTGTGTGTGGACAAATGCATTAGTTATATTGATTTGTATTATTTCAGCATTTGTACAATTTATTGATTCACTTTTACTTAATTGTTGTGATATAATAGAATTATTATATCAGTGTTATGTTGTTATGTAACATATGTGTGCGATATAATTTTTCTTTTTAATATATCAATGTCTCTGTCGTTAATTTTTTAGATTCCATATTTTGTAAAATACATAATTTTATATATTTCTGGCTTTATATATATCTTGAGATTAAATACAATATGATATCTCTTTTATTTTCCTTTTCAATTAATTTTGTTGGTTGTTAACGATAACAGGATAGGACTTAGGGAAATTGTAAATGTGCAAAAATAGGAACATACATTTTTATGTAATATGTACGGAGGCATAATAGATTATATATTTATTCATGAAAAGGGGTATTAGTTTTTGTTTCAAATGTTTTATTAATATTACACATTTGTTGGCACACAAATATACTGCAAATGCCCTGAAATGGTTGTAAGCTGTTATTATGTTTAAATACCGACACGCACAGCAGGAAGCAATAAATATAAAATTAAATATTTTATTTTATAAAAAAAACTTATATTAATTTATAGAAGATTTATATAAGCAATAAAAAAGAGCGCAATACCACATATTCCACTATTGAACACATGGCTATAATAATGATAAATAATAGTAAAACGTAATAAAAAACTAAATAAAAATGTATACATATATACACATATCTATATGTATATATGTTTCTATATATCCATAAGTCTCTTTTTTCTTTAAATAAATTCACATTATATTATTCAATCTACATTATGTTCTTTATATAAGCATTAAATATTTTCCTATCATGCTATTTTTGGCAACAAAAACGGAACTACTTAATATCATATAAAAATATATTATAAATTTCAGCTTATATAATTATGAATTATTTTATAAAAATTATGTCTACTTTTCACACACACACCAAAAAAAGAAAGAGAAAAGAAGGCAAGAAAAATAATGAAAAGAAAGAAAAAGATCCATATATGTGTGAAAGATATTAAATTCATAAAATAATAAATAAATATTCTATTTATTTAAATACTACACAATAATTTACCCAAATAAATAAGCTTTGCTTTTACGAAAGGAAATACCACAAATCCGACTTACATCATTATATGCTACATTATGCGTTATTAACGCATCCATGTTCTAAAATAAATATAATCTCATCTCTTTTTCTCCCGTCATCTTCTCTTCGCTTCCTCCATCAACCACGTGTTAATCAGCTACGAAAAACGATATGAACGATCCATTCGAGTTCTATCTAACGTAATTAATTCTAGCAGAACCCCATTATTCTTGCTTCATGCAAGTTTAACCTTCGAAATAACGCCAAAGGATTTCGAAGAACTATATACGAGCATTACGAGATCAAAATCGGAAGTCAAATTCATCTCCTGCGCTTCTTCCGCCTGCTCTTCCACTCGTTCAGACCTTTGTACTTGTGCACGGCTTGCTTGACAAACTCCTCGACATTCGGCCTGAATCTGACCGTCACCTTGTCCGTGGCGCGTCCGAAGTCAATGACGTTCGGTATCGCCCAGGGGAAGATGACCGCGGCGACCCCGAGGACTCCAGCCGCCATCGCGGCGAATGGCGCCGCAGCGAGGCTGAAGAAACTGTACCCGAGTGGATTCAGTAGAGAAAAGTACGTAAAGACCGAAGCCACCGACTGCAAAACGCCGCTCGGCGACATGTCAAATTCGTCGTCTTCGTCATCTTTGTTGCCGGAGGATCCTGCGGAAACCGACGAAGCTAGACCACCAACAGCACTTGCTAAAGGTCGAGCAGGAATATTTGGCAGCGCGGGAAGCTGCAAGGTACCTGGGCCATTGATGGCCTGACCCGTCGCGGCATTGGACGAAGCCAATCCGTGAACGACTGGAGCCGGATCAGGTGAACCACTTACTTCAGCAATCTCACCTACAGGATTACCATCGACGGATGATCCAGCAGGATCCGGGAGAGGGACATCCGAGTTGGTCAGACTGATGTGAGTGTTCTGAAAGACTTCGACGGTCGACAATTCTGGGACGGGATCCAAAATTAAGGGATCCTTATGGGAATCGTAATAATCGTCAGGTTGCGGCGCTTCAACCGGGCTATAGGAACCGATTGCCGCGGTTACGAAACTGTCTGAAGAATCCTGATGAGAGAGATCGTCGAGCTCCCCGGAATACTTGTCGCTCTCGTTATCGTAGCCTTCGGTCGCCAGAGAAGTCTGAGCCAATTCGGTGGGTTTGTTACTGGGTTTGAACACGTTCGTGTTCAGGACGTGAGAGTTGACGATTATGTTCAGATCGGTGCAGCCTTCCTTGCTTTGAATCGTATTGTTCACGCGGGTGTAAGTGTTGATGGTGATCGTCGGGCAGTTGTAGGACGAGGGAAAGGTGTTGGTCTCCTGCTTGGAAGGTTCTTTATTCTCGGAAGAAGTCGCTTCGTCGCCGGATATCGTGCTCAACTGAGGCACTTTCGTTACATTCGCTTCCTTCGAACCGTCGTTCAGAATCTGGACCACTGTATTCTGCGTCACCAGTGTCATGGGATTCAGGACAGTCTTGTTCTTCAGCAACGCCGCGTTGGGCCAGGAAGTTAAAGGAGGAGAAAGATTCGTAGAATCTATCGAATACTGTGGTTGAAGGGCTGGATCCGGATACTCTTCATGATTTATTTCCTCGAGATCTTGATTCTGAGACGGATCCTGAAGAACGACGGTCTCATAACGATCGTCATTATAATCGCTTAGCGGCCGATTGGGTTCCAAGTTTTCGTAGATCGAGTCGAACACCGATTCGACTGGTTTATGAACATCCTCGTTTATCAGTTGCGAGCCGTTCGGCAGCATCGTGTCCACCTTCAACCAGTGGATGATCTTCTTCACGCTGGCGTCGATAATCGGATCCGGGTGATTATAGTAGCCGTCGTCCGACGATAGAATCATCGGCGTCTGATCGGCATCGTGAAAGCCGGACTCGCGATTCAAATTCTCCTTCAAGGACAAAGTGTACTTCTCATCCTTGTACAGATCCTCGATATTCTGGGACGTCTCGTTCGGCCAGATCTTCAAGTACGCGTTCGATGTTCCCTCGACTCTCTCGACCGGACTCGACAACTTCTGCGAAGGATGACGATGGCTCTTCGTCGAATGATGATCAAACGAGGCTGTCAAGTGGTTCTTCATCGGCTCTCTCGACTGAACATCGTCACCGGGCTTCGAATTCAGGGCGACGCTGCTGGAGCCTCGATTCAAAGTGGAGAACGGATATCGGAGTCTGACGAAGTTTCTATTCGAAGTTATCCCGGGTCTGCGAGTCGCGTCATAAGGGATTCTCGATTTCGGATCCGAGATGAAAATCGGATGGGTGGGCGCTGTTGAATTATTCAGATCCGCGTGCTCGGCATCGACAACAAGGCGAAGAGAATCGGTTGCGAAAGCGAGTTTCGGATTTTCCTTCGAAGTCACGATCGAATCGGTATTTTTGCCGATTTCTTTATGAACGGAGCGAGTCGATGAAATAGCGCTTTCCCGAGGATCGATCGAGACCTTAGTTCTAGCTATGCTCGAAACCTGTTTTATTCTCCAACGCGACCTGTCATTTCCGAGAACACGTTTATTCGAGAACGAGTCGGACTTGATGGAACCTGATCCCTGCCGATTTTTCGCGATAGAAATATCGCCGCTCGTCAAACCAGACGCGTGATGATGATTCGCCAAGAAATGATTTCCTGAAGAGTACCTCGTCCGAGCGACTGTCGACTTGAAGTCTCGATTCGGCCTTCCTAAATTATAGTAATTCCCACCACCTAATATTTTAGAATAATCGATCGTTCGATCGGCTCCTGAACCGGAGCCAGAAGGACCACGAAGAGAAGATGATCCGTTCGCCTTGTTCGAACTTGGAACGCCGATCTCGCCCAATACGTTCGTCCTCGAAAGACTCGTGGGTGCTTTAAATTCGGACGTCGTCCAGATGTCATCGATCTTAGAACGACGCCGAGCAACGTCGTACGACGACGATCGCGTTGTCGGAGCGAGACCGCGTGACAAATCGACACTATCGCGGAAACCTCTGATATACGACTTTCTATTACGTCCGGAAGTCCCCGTATACCTGCTATCGTCCCGAATTGTATCGTGCGTCGCGTTGTTCCGGGCTTGAACGTCTCTCCATCCCACGTCGCTCGTTTCCGCCTGCGGCGCCGAATTCGCGTCGCCTGCAAAGCGAAATATTTCATTTTAAAATTAACACATTTTTTTCTCTCTAAAAAAATTGTTCTTTCCAAAAAAATTAAAAAAAAAAAAAAAAAACATGTGTTTTATCAACAGAATTTACAATGCAAATTTACACTCTAATTATACACAACAAAATTTATAATGCGACGTGCTAATCAAATTTTTCTCTAAAAAAATTGTTTTTTCTAAAAAAAAATTTTTTTAAAAGAAAAGACATACGTTTTATCAACAAAATTTACAAATGTATGCAACAAAATTTATAATGCGACGTGCTAATCGAATTTTTCTCCCTAAAAAAATTTTTTTTAGTGAGAAAAAACATACGTTTTATCAACAGAATTTACAATGCGAATTTACGCTCTAATTATGCAACAAAATTTATAATGAGGCGTGCTAATCGATGTACTAATTATTGCCAATCGCTAAGAAACTATTAGGATGACAATTTACAATTGCTGAAAGTTTAAACGCTTCCGTTTCTTTCTTAAGAAATTCGATTTTGTAAGAAAAGCACTATGGTATAACGCACGAAGAGCAGTGACGTAATTGTGATAAAAAGGACAAGTTGCGATTCGACACGCTACAACAATATATAATTGATGTACTATTGAGTAATTGCATGTTTGATGCATCGCATGCATTTTCTCCGTAATGGCACATAGAACAAAACCCATTTTTAAGATATAAAAGGCTCGTTAACGAAAGTAATAGGGAAATAAAGAAAATAATTGTTGTACGTGAGTTGTATGCAAATTTGTGAAATAAATTGGAATTGGTTATATTAATTAGCAAACAGTTATATTAATTAAGTAATTACTTTTACATAATTTTTATACAAGAATATTAATTAATTAATGTAACAGTTATTCTATATCTCTGTAAAATAATTAGAAAAGCTAGTAATTATATTGAAATAAATTTTTTAACTGTCACATAATGATATTAAAGTATTGTACATGAAAAGATGACAGATTTACGATTGGATAAGCATGGTTTATTAGCTCCGATTGCACCGTGTAAAAGACATCAATCTTACGTTAGAAAACGTTTTCTGCTACTAACTCGTTGCGTTACGTGATTTTATTGCTAAACATTATCGATTATTTCCGTCGCGTTATAACATTGTTTTCACGTATAATGTAATTTCTTTTTTTTCCTTTTTTTTGGAAAACACCTACCACTTTTTTGAGGTCTGGCATCGCCTGATCCTGCGACAAGCAGGACCACCACAACCTTCAGTATCTGCATCCGCATCTTCGCACTGAAACAAAGAATTAAAAAAGAATTTTTAAAAATAAAGCTTTAAAGATTTAAAAAAAATGATATACAGAAAAAAAATTATTAAATTAAAATAAACATTTATTTCGACTCACTGCCTCATAAATCATTTATTGATATAAGAAAATCCTTGATCTTTTGTGCAATTTATTTACAATTCAGAAATAGCCTTATCGAGAACGATGCGCTTCTAATTTATTAAATTAGAATAAACATTTATTTCAATACTGCCTCATAAATCATTTCTTTGATGTAAGAAAATCCTGTTCAAACTGATAAATATTTGTTTCAAATAAATGATTTATTAGGCAGTGTTGAAATAAATATTTATTTAATTTCATAATTCTTTTCCATATATGGTATGTAGTGCACATAAAGAAACTCTTTCGTGCAATTTATTTACGATTCAGAAATGGCCTTATCGAGAACGATGCGCTGTGAATGAATAAAAAGGCAGACAAAGGGAGATTCCGCGCATCGCGAAATATCCTAGAGGCTGTCCTCGACACGATGACCTACACTCCTAAACGTCGAACCTGATCTTGAGCAATGATCTAGATCGCAGATATCTCGGTTGCACGCGTATGGCGTTGTGCGACATCGGGAAAACGAGTCGAGAGTAAGAGAGCGCAAAAACAATTTCGCGATCGAAATGAAAGGCTCTGGATCGAATCGACAGGAAACGGAGGTGGAGCAAACGCGGAAGTGGAAGGTCTCAATTTTACGACGACAAAAGAGAGACAAACGCGACGCTTGCATTAACATTCACAAGTACCTATGTGCGTAAGCACGCTGTTGCGAACCAAGATTTACATGTGTAATATGTATTTATCGGGGTTTAAAAGTGTGTTTCGACAAATACTTTGGCAATAATTCGCAAATGTTTCATAAAGACCGCGGAAATGTTCAGCAAATATATATATGTGCACAATATATTTTCTCTGTTTGATGGTGAAATGTCAAATATTTGAGCAATATATTTTTCAACAATATATTTAATTTTTTTCTTCTCGTAATTTTTCAGTCATTCGATAAATATAAATATATGATGATACAATAATATATAGATGAATTCTTATAACGTATAAAATTCTGCCTATTAAATATATAAATATAAATAACAATTCTACAGAATGTTATATGACAGATATTAAACATCTGAATTAAATATTTTTATGAATGTAAATTGCATTTGAAATTTTAATCTAGCGATATACAATTTTAATTAACTCAACATTAAAAATTTTAAAATAAAATGCTAGACAATAACAATTAAAACATTTAAGATGCACAATCATTAAGATACTAATGACGCAAATGTCGAGACAATTGATTCTGGCGACTTTACTTAATGTCAGACACGATGTGAATCTCTGATTGCTGATTTGTCACCGAAGGTCTTGATTGAAAAAGTCATTTGTATTCGATTTTCATTTCCAATTGTTCAATCATGAATGCGTGGAATACAAGCGGTGGAATTATTTTAGCATCGACGTTTACATGAAATAAAGCGTGCACTCGTGCAATATAAAATTCATACCAATTTGAGTTTAAAAAAATATCAATAAAAATCATAAATTAAATTCGGAAGAGAAATTGTCATCTTGCCAGGGTGTCCAGTCGTCCTTGAAATTTGGTTTGTTCTTTAAAAATCCTGGAAATGTGCTTAAATTTTTCGTAGATCCTTGATTTTTTTACTTGTGAATATTCAGTTTCTTCGGATTGTCTTAAGAATAAAATAATTTTACTGGTGAAATGAGTCGTTTTACTTATGAAAATACTGTAAATCATCAGTGAAACAAAATTTTTTCGTCAAAGTTTATAAATCGAGTCAAGTTTTACCATTATAAATATATAGATTTCATATAAGGCTGTATCTATCTAAAAATATTCAACTAAAAGAATCAGCTGAGATTATTCGAGTAAAAAATATTTCAATTATCTATTTATTTACAAAATCCAAAAATGTGTTGCAAATAAGTTATTTCTCGATTTTAAATATTCAAATATAAGAAAATATTTTATCGAATATTCTAATGGATATATTTATTTTTATTAACGTGCAATTTATATCGACTCGATTAAAAAAATAAAATACTTTATTCCTTGTACATATCGATTATATTACTGGAAAATTGTTCTCAAAATGTCACTGAAATGTCCTTAAATTTCATTTTCAAATTTTACTAAACATCCTGCTTGCAGATATTGAATTAAATAATATCCTCATGATTTTCGAGCGAACGTTGTTTCCTTCTCGCGCATCGAAATCTCCGCGGAGGATCAACGAGAGACTTTCAGTCTCAATTTGAGAAAACCGGGCCGTAGCTGTCACTTGTAATTAAAAATAATCCGCGAGCGGAATCCGTGGAATGCGCTTGGCGATTGGGTGATTGTCACCTGGATGTTGTTTACCGTTGCATTTTTCCGTTCATATAATCGTGTCTACTAACGGTATATCCCCGATCCCGGGGCGTCGATCTTCTTCGGGTGTCTTTCGTACGTGACGCCTCGCGCATCTCGCGGCGATATCGGAGAATACACGTGAGAATGTGTGATCGAAGCGCGAGAATTATCCAGGGATATTATTCACCGGTATAGAATAGTACAAGTCCGGCGCGCAAATTCTACGAACGGGCACGTACCGTTAACCATTTGAATGTTTCTTTGCGAACCGGAAAGCCGCTCATGCGCGATTATTCGACGCTATTGGATTTGCGAGGAGCGCTACAAAGAGATTCTTGGGATTCCGAACGAATGCGTCAGGGAGCAAACAAAAGGCCGACCGATCGACATGTGAATATATTATATATCCAAAAAATTATATCAATATGACATTATTTTATATTCTTTCCTGAAAAAGTAGAAGTATTATGTCTCCATTTTGTCGCGTTGGAATTAAATCTTCCAGCTGATTGCGTGAATTAATATTGAAAAAATTATATATAAAAAATTATATAAAAATTATATATAAAAAATTATATATAATATATAAAATTATATATAAAATTATATATAAAAAATATATAAAAATATATATATATATATATATATATATATATATATATATATATATATTATATAAAATTATATAAAAATTATATATAAAAATATATGTATAAAAAATTATATATAAAAATTATATAAAAATTATATATAAAAATATATAAAAAATATATATATATATATAAATATATATAAGAAATTAATACTTGTTTTTTATAGCAGATTACAGTGTTTTTTTAAATTTATAAATAATTACAAGTTAATAAAAAAAATTGTAATTGATGAAAAAATGTTAATTTTAATTGATCGTAACTATGTAATTCGTGACGAGTATGAAGTACTTTGTGGAGCTTCGGTAGTTTTACCCTCGCAAAATGGAACCGTTGTATGCAAGAATAATTGTTATTATTCATGCTCTTATTTACGCACTAACTATTTTCGATGGCAAGCGTATTGCAGTAGTAATTTTCCGCAATTGTAGAGTAAATAGCGAGTGCAATTACGGGGAACTACTTTGCCGTCATACATGTATAAGTTCATTAAATAATAATGTTTAATACGGAAAGTAAATTTTCAAACTATGTTTAATCGAAGAAATAATAATAACAAAAAGCCAGGTAGAATCAGTCGAATTAATACGCGATATCAAAGTATATAACTTCTTCTCATTTCTCCTTATTAAAGCTTACGTAATACCCATATCAATTCAATCTATAATGTAATATAAATCATACTTAGGAGATATCTCAGAGCCGCCGATAGTTCAATCTGCCGCGGAATAAAACATACTATTTATGTATTCATGGAATCGCTTATGGTCGAGGAATGAAGTCCGTTTCCGGAACGCTGGACGCCCCAGCGGAAAAGATCGCGCAATAAAGCTACGCTATTTAACAAACAGATTTGTGCTCTAACGAGCATCGGACATTCCTATCGCCGCTTAAATCGGATAACGAAAAAAAAAAAAAAAAAAAAAATTGGAGAACACTCCCTTCCGATCGTGTTCAGGTAAATCGAATCTTATTTACAGACAGATGGATTTACACACGATCGTTACGGTAAGCGGATGCTTCATCGCCGTGACTGTCCCGTACAATGAACATTCTCACGCGAAGTCTCCATCTCCTCGTCAATCCTTAATTCATCTCGCATTGATAACGGTAACACATCTATAGGTGCGCTTGATTTTATATTTATATATTTTTATTGTATGATATTTTTCTATTCTTTTCGCTTTTTTATATGGAAGCGTAACGGAGCGACTTCTCTAATTATATACGAGAGCGAGACACTATTATTAAAACGTATAATATATATATAAATAATGCAACATGTCCGTCGAGAAGAGAAGAAAGAGGACATGAAAGGAGACAAAAATTGAAAGCATTTATAGTCATATTTAATGCTTAATATTTTTAATTTTGAATAATTGAAAAAAATCATGTACTTGTGCAAGTGTATTTATTTGGTTACAGAGAACCTATTTTCTTGTCAATAATTAAATTAATATTTTTTCTTGACAAAAAATATTTTGACAAATTAAGTTTCATTGATGTAAATAAATGAAAAAATTTTGATTAGAAGATAAAATAACAAAACTTTCTTAAAATGTAGAATTCTTTCAATCGTGTCTCCAACATATAGATTCTTGCTTCTTTCATCAATGATTGATCCGGGACAAGTAGGTCGCATATTAATAACATTGATTAATCTAATCAGTGTAATTATTTCCTGACTTTTTTTTGGAGCGTGGCATATAAACTTCAAAAGGGTTCCCATTATATTTCAATTGCCTAATAAAACAAGATAGACATCCGTGAAATGCGATTCAACAAGTATAACGTGACGCAATGATGTGAAAAACAAAAAACAGGAAGAAGAACTAGAAGGTTCTTCTCCCGAGGAAGTGACTGGCGATTGAACCAGATACGAGTGCAATTAATGACATTACATATCCCGGATTTGAACTATGCAATA